CCATCCACCCATCCATCATCCATCCATCCACCCACCCATTCATCCACCCATCCATCCATCCATCCATCCATCCATCCATCCATCCATCCATCCATCCATCCATCATCCACCCATCCACCCACCCATCCATCCATCTAGAAAAATTTACTGAATATAATGTAATAGTTCAGCTATATATATGTGTGTGTGTGTGTGTGTGTATATACCAAAAATGGAAGAAATATAAATATTACTATGTTTTTGCACACTGTGAATTGGGCCTTATCATCCATTCTCTGGACAGTGTGATCATGATGCAACAGGTGTTAAATATTTTTGCTGTGTGATATTAGAAAAGACTCAAATCATCCTAAATGTAATGAAGTTTGTGCCGAAACACGCTGTGAGGCCACAATAAAGGGAAATGGATGAATAACGTAGTCTGGAAATGACTGTGTTCTCTGCAGGGAGACTTCCGACACAAATCGTCCTTTGTGATCTGAGGAGGGAGCAGACGTCGGGCCGTCGTGCTGAGCAGAAACGTGACGGCGAGCCCTCCACGCTGTCCGACCCGGAGCTGCCGCAGGTCACAGCTCTCAGCACCACCCAAATCCAACTACTCAAGTTTGCCAAAGGTGACAGGATTTCACAGGACGACAGCCTGTAACACGAGTACATGCATAGGGACTGGGAATAATTTAACTTTATCACCCTCAACCGAGTTCTTTTGCTAAATTATGGGGTTCTTACTTTACAGTTATTGCATGGTTTCACTAATCACGGTGGAGAAAAGGAAACACTTGTTGGTTCTGGTCCAGGTAGAAAAGGAGGAGGAGTCCGTCTCCTCTCCGGTCCATCACCACACTTTTCTACTGTAGACATTTTGCTTCAAACCTTTTGTCATTTGTATAACATTTCTTTTCTACTGTTGAAATTTGTCAGACTATTTTTGATGGAATATATTTTAAAATGCCTATAGATAAAGGTTTACTTTTTTAAATATTTGTAAAATACTAACATGTGTTTTTCTTTTTGTTTGTTTTTTTGGTTGTGGATAAAAATATGTAACACTTTAACCACTTTGCATCAAGCTGTAAGCATTTACACCTTTGCAATCAGGAGAAAGACAGACAAATGAACCTGACTCGTATTAGCATATCAAGACGTGCTTCTTGATCGGAGGTCTTACATGTTGAGTTTCTGCGCTGGGATCGCCCGGTTTCTGTTGTGAGAGACTTCCATGTTCATGTTTGTAGATAGTCTTAGTAAGAGGCTTTGAAGAGTGCCAGTCAAATGCTGTGAAACACTGTACACGATCAGTGCTGCGTTTTCTTGATTTTAAGTGTCCTTCTATGCTTGCTGTTAATCTTGTATATATTGAAGTTGCTGTCAGGATGCTGACGGGCCTCCTGTCATGTTCAGTATTACACTAGAATACAAATAGTGGTAATATTACAGGGTTTGTAAGTTAACCTTCCAGACCCAAAGAAACCAGAGGAAGAGGACTGAGACCAGGTACTTCACTCAGTAAAAGCCTCCATTTAGAAACAGAATACAGCCTGACGTCCAGAACAAAGGCGTCTCTGCTGGAGCCTGTTGTCAGGACAGAGTTGTTTTAACAACTGAGTCGGCTATTTAAAGGTGTAATTACTACAGGTACAAACAGCATGAGTGGAAAAGCCCCGACCGTACAGCAGATACACAGTCCGCTAGAACCACACAGTATGAATCCTAGTTGGTACCGACTGCAAACGACAAGTTATTATTTAGGATGTAGAGCTAACTGTAGTATTGGCTAGATGTGTTTAAACTGAAAAGAGAAGTCAATTTATGTTTGGCTGCAGCTTCTGTTCTTCTCATTCCTGTCAGCCGAGCTGACGGCAGACAGACAGACCCTAGATCAGTGTTACAGTAGTACTGACCCTAGATCAGTGTTACAGTAGTACTGACCCTAGATCAGTGTTACAGTAGTACTGACCCTAGATCAGTGTTACAGTAGTACTGACCCTAGATCAGTGTTACAGCTGTAGCAGCGCTGACCCTAGATCAGTGTTAGTGGTCTACAGCTGGGGGGAGGGGGGGGGGGGGTCCGGGTCTGGCAGGTTAACAGATGTACTGATTGTAAATAGGTGTTTGTTATTTTGTTCTCTCTCTCAAGATTATGTAAAGTGGTGAAAAGTGTAAAAAAAAGAAGCTATCTGAGGCGATATGAAACTCTTTCCATTAGTCAGACTGAACACAGGTAACATTTGATCCCATCATTCAGAACACGTGAACAAGAGCTTCAGCTCAGGAAGCTGAGGAGCAGCTCTCTGCTTCAGGGTCCATTATTTCTGGCACCAACCAGATTAAAGAACGCCTGATACGAGTCAGGACTCGTGGAGCCTCCACGCAGCTCCGAGGAACCTCTTGTTCTGTGATGAATGTTGAACAATCAGCACTGCAGCGAAATGTTCACCGAATATCAGTCGTGGTAGAGACGATCTGCCCAACGTTTGCACATCAACACTGCTCGGTCTCAGTGAACATGTTGCATTAAGGAACCAAAAGACAACATGTCTGAGTGTACTATTAGCCCAGTTAAGGTCACGAATGATTCCTGTTGCAGGTACATGATACGGTGAGATGTACGCCATGCAGCTCAGATGCATAAGTCTCCCCTCCTCATTTGTACAAAGTTCATTCCTCTTAAGTGCCTTCAGCCTTCAAAGTAGTTCAGTTTCTCTCCAGCGAGCCATGCTCTCTCACATTTGTACCTTTCTACGATACCATCACAGGCTTCGTATTTTCCGTTCAATTAACAACAAGCACGGCGTTTGAGAGGAATGATGTCACTGCAAATTTCCGCTTCCCTTCTTTACATATCTGCAAATTTGTAAATAGCTTTTTCATAGATTTGAAAGTGTAGACATGTTGAAGTAGAAATGAAAAATAATAGTGCCTAAATATAGTGGGAATTATTTTTGGTAAATACACATAGCACTATTAGGCCAAAAAAAGAAAGAAAATAGATGAGTACCCGGAGCAGAGACACTTTTTCCTCAAACTGACGTCTGGTTTCATTGACAGCAGTGATCATGTGAGGGATGGTATTTTGAAATCCACCGCTGCGTTCAGAGCTGCAGTGTCCAGACACGGAGCGTGACTGAGTTTGTTTCTGCTGTAGCTGCAGCTGTGATGAAGCTGGAACTGTTCAGGTGTTACGTGCATTTCATGAACCAGTGTTGACCACAAACAGCAGCAGGTGTTGATGTAGAGCAGCTACAAGCATTCCTGAACCAGAGCGTCTGCAGGCTGGCTGGATGCTGGGAGGCAGCGTAGAGCTCCTACTGGTGATCAGAGCTGGTTTCCAGTGTGTCGGCTGGAGGATGGCGGCGCTGCGGTGGTCCGGCGCAGACTGACAGATCAAACATCACGTTTTACTGAACCAATCACACGTACAGGAGAATGTCGGTTTGGGGCCTGCCGGGTTGTTTTTGTTCATTTTAGAACCACTCTATTTGTGATTAATAAAACTCACTTCAAATATTACTGCAGATACTCGTGTTTGCTTTTTTATTCCTGCTGTGTGCAAAGTGTCTGCATCTCTGCTGCCAGTCTGGTCATGTCGGGATGTCTGCGCCTCCAATCCTCCTCGACTGCTCCAGAGCCTCCCGCTGCTCACAGAAATCCTGTTGAGTATGAAGGTCCATCAAACGTCCCACTGACAGCATCTTTGTTGATCTAAAGCCATAATCTATTAGTGGGAGTTAAGCCATTTCCACTTTGCTCACTGCAAACAGCTTTCTTGTTCCTTTCTGGTGCCTGTGCCAACTGGCAGCAAGTTCCTGGATAAAGAGCTTTACAATCAATGAGCACACTGAGGATAATATATTGTAGTTTGCAGCCGAGCCAGTGGACACTTTTACTTAATTTACAGTGAAGTCAATTTGAGCAGGGATCACTTAGCTCAGGAATTTAAAAGAAAAACACTTTGTCTTGAAGAATTTTAGAGAGAAAGAAGACTGTGATTAAACAGAAGACCATTTCAAACGTGAGACAGTCTTTTGGTTGCAGAGCGGAGCACTAACCAGCTGCACAGCCGTCCTCTGGAAGTGATGCACTACATGAGTCCTGAGTTTCAACAGCTTATGAGTGAAGTACAAGAGTCACAGTCAGAGATGGGACGTCTTTTGGGTAAAGGTCTCCTTATGCCAACCTCCAAATGTGAACTTTTGCTCCAGCATCAGTGAACGAGGTGATGGCGGCCTGCTGAGCCGGTGTCTGGGAACAACGCAACATGTCACGTGGTCTATCTGATGCTGACAACAACCCTGATATGGAACAATTAATGGTGAAGTCATGTTGGGCTGCAGGTGTCTCATTGGTTAGCACAGTTAGCGCCTCACAGCTAGAAGGTCGCCGGTTGGCGTCCCGGTGAGGACACCCGGGATCTTCCTGCGTGGAGTCTCCATGTTCTCCCCGTGCAGCGTGGGTTCTCTCCGGGTTCTCCGGCTTCCTCCCACAGTCCAGAAACATGCTGAGGTTAATTGGTGATTGTAAATTGTCCGTAGGTGTGAATGTGAGTGTGCTTGGTTGTCTGTCTCTAAGTGTAGCCCTGTGATAGACTGGTTACCTGTCCAGGTGTCCCCTGCAATAAACGCAGCATTAATAGAGTCAGAATGTCTCTGGTGTAGCTTAAGCTCAAATAAATAAAACTATGGGACCAATTTTTGCCAGATCACCAGATTAACACAAACACTAAGCATTGATGATTTGCTACTAACACACTATGAATCAGTAAAACTACTGGCTGTACATGTAACAGTCAATGGCTACAGTTAATGACCTTACCTGCATATTCTGGCCCTTAAAGTTACTTCAATTTAAAGTTGAACTGGTCCCTTAAATGTAGTGAGAAGGATGTTGTGTGTGTTCGACAGCCTGTGATGGGATTCAGGTCCCTGGAGGTCTGCTCCAAAAATAAAAGCACTCAATGAGAGTCGTTTGTTACTTTAATCCATAGACTGTGTATAAAGACGGGCGTAGCGACCAGCTCTGAATGCAAAGCACCTGAAGTGTAATTCCTCTGAGCGCTGCCAGGTGCCGGCTCCACAAAGCTCCGGCTCCTGTTGACTCTCATCACAAAGTCATCACAGTCTCTCATGTAATGCTACGATACAATACAGCTCCCTCCTGAGAGTCAGTGCTGCAGTGGCCACCTGAGAATACCTCTATGGTTCAATAGAAATGTGTCTGAGTCTGCCGTGCATGTCATCCATCTGATCATCCATCTGATCATCCATCTGATCATCCGTCTGATCATCCTTTGGGATTTCTATGGATGGGCCTCCATGCTGTGTTGAGCATCCTGAATTTGCACTCATGATGCTCCAAACGTGTATTTATAATTGCCAGTGAAGCCTCCGTAATTGTCAGAACAGAAAGATGCAGAAACATGAAAAACCCACGATGTCCCTTCCCCTCCATCACCGATACTGTCACAGCTCCTCAGGTTTGGTGACACATGCTTGGAAATTTGTGGTGCAATATTTACTTACGTATCAGATTCACATGGGATTAAGATCAGAGACAAAGTCCCAGACGTCCCCAGCTAGTCCTGGTCCCGTGTGAATAGGTCTGTACATATATGAGGACTTGCTTCAGAGCAGGAGGTCTGCTTGCTGGACTCAGTGGAAATCCGGAGACAACACGATGACATGTGAGGCTTCAGCGGGGGTCAGCAGCACAGCTCTATGCCCAGAGGCTCTTTAACAGGATCATCCACCACGCTTTGGCTGATTTATTTCTCTATTTCTAATATCCACAGACATTTTAGGTACATCCTGAGGTTTCTGACAATTTTCAGAGCCGATAGCTTGGTGCAGAAGTGTGGGCTGAGCAGACACCACAGAGAGGAGAAAGCAGATGGGAGAAAATCGTACTTGACAGAAGGATGTTGCCTATTTAGAAAATATCACAGCACGATGTGACGAACTGACGGGATGTGAGTCCGGGTGGAGGCTACAGCTGCACCTACTGCTCCATTAGGATCGGTTTCTGTCGTTTCAGGACAGCTGGAAGTGCTCTGCTTGTTAAAAGTCTTCAGTCATTTGTCCAAACATGAGAAGGATTTGTAGGACTTCAGCATGCGATGCTCTCAGATGTCCCAGCATGCTGTTATGGGACAATTTTAGACTTTTTTTTCTTCCTTTTTTTATCTGTCTCAAAAGTGAGTCAGTGTTATGAAAGAACATTGTTATGTCTGAGCCTCAGGGGAGCCATTTAATTGTTGTCAGGTTGGATCATAAAACTGTTCACAAAAGGAGGATTGGATCGTTATAATCTTTTTTTCATAAGTCACCAGAACTAATTAGGCAGTTAAGAGAATCTGTTCCCAGAGGAGCCTCGTAATAAGATAAAGCAACACGCCCAGACAATTTGGAAAACAATTCATAGTAATATTCACTTAGTGTTGAAATGCTGCTGTTGATGTGTGTGTGAAGCATGCAGGCTGTACTTTTTATTTAAACTACATGTGTTGCATTAAACAGCAGCACAACACGGCCGTCAGTGGAAACCTTTGTGTCGGAGGATTTTCCACCTGATCAAGAATTAAAATCTGGGCCAAAAAAAAAAAAAAAAGAACGAGAGAGACACAGATAGTGTTCACATGGTAATGAGGATTTATTTTGGAGAGATTTTTTGAAGTACAGAATAATTACACCAGGCAGAGCAGCTGAAGCAGGAGGAAGCCTGAGGAGTCCGGCTGTGGTCAGACTGCCCTCTAGAGGTGCAGCAGCGCCATCACAACTCTGTCCAGAATGTCTGTTTTACTGCAGGCAGTGAGGAAAAGACTGGATCAAACCAAAGACAATAAGAATACACAGACTGTAGAAGTCATTACTGATAAACTGACATCAGATCAGTGTAATTTAATGTTTGTGTTTTTGTCAGAAGCTGATAAGAAATGTTATAATGTTGGAGTATTTCCTGACATACACACCAGATGCTATAATAACATATAATATAGCAGCATTTAGTAAAACCAGTTTCAGCCCAGTGACCCACCATTACATTATGATGGAATACTTCTTTTACACTCTCATGCACCTCCTATAAGGACACCTTAGAAACCTCTCTAAACATTTACCACAAGCTTGAAGTCCATCCCTCATATGAAACCACGACTGTCTGGATCTGTGTTCGGTCTTCGGTACGCTGCGGTTTCACAGTGAAAATGCTCCGCCATGCTGTTGCTGCATGTAAACACTCCTTATGAACAGAATTTTATGGCCAGATAGATTTTCAAAGGTAGAAATCTCCAAAACCACAAGTTCATGTTTGTTCAACTTTGATTTTGCACTTTGGTTTCAAGATTGAAACTTCCATCCATCATCTCTACACCTTCATCCTCACTATGGGGGGCGGAGCCTATCTCAGCTGACTCAGGGTGAAGGCAGGTTCACCTGGACAGGTAACCAGTCTATCACAGGGCTACACTTAGAGACAGACAACCAAGCACACTCACATTCACACCTACGGACAATTTACAATCACCAATTATCCTCAGCATGTTTCTGGACTGTGGGAGGAAGCCGGAGAACCCGGAGAGAACCCACGCTGCACGGGGAGAACATGGAGACTCCACGCAGGAAGATCCCGGGTGTCCTCACTGGGACGCCAACCGGCGACCTTCTAGCTGTGAGGCCACGGTGCTAACCACTGATCCATCTGCAGCCCAGGTTTGAAACTTGAACCTGACAACAGAACTGCTTTTCTATCTTAAAGGTTTGTGTGAAACTACATCTGATGAGCTCAGAGTCACTTGGACATTTTGAGATTCATAATTTCAAGATACAAGACAGACGGCACGATAACACAAAAAGGACAAATCATCCCTGTTACACTGAGATGTACACATCTGTTTGTAAGCTGCAGAGCCGCCTGGCGTATATTTAACACGCCAGTCTACTATCATTTACTTCTGTTGATTAGACTCATTAATCTATCAGTCTGCCTTCAGCTCATTAAAGTGTACCACATCACACGGCCACATTGAAGAGAGCAGCCTAGCTGTGCATACCTTGAAGCAGTTATGATGGTATTTTGGAAAATGTGTGAACCATTAAACCAGTAAAATGTCACTGCACATCGTAAATGTACCAGATAAACCCAAATGTTTTAGTGGTTCACCATTCCTGCTTCCTGTTTCAGAAAAGCAGATGTGACCACTGGTCACTGATCAGCGTCCGAGCGGAGGCAGAGTCATTAGCTCCTAGAAGCATGAGCTCATGTTTAGCCTGAAGAACAGAAAACTATTTGGTGCCTTAACAGAACGACAAAGATCAACGATAGCTCATGCATTTGATCACACCCTGTAATGTGCAGATGAACTGTGGCAGAACGTGTGAGGTCACGTCGTCTGTAAACAGCTTGAATGTGCAAAGAGACAACAGTCCTGTTGACCAGCTGTGTGTTAGTATGATGCATAGAGGGAGCGCTGATGGTGGGGCAGAAGTCCAGAGTCACTGGGGCTCTCTGGCCTTGTTGAAGAGGAAAAGAGCTGCTCCTGTGTCATCATACACTGAAATAAAATTAAATTGACAAAAGTAATAATAAAGAATTTTTTTAATGAAAATCATGACGTTGCTTTTGAATTGTGGTTCAGTAGAAATATTCAAACAAAGCCTGATGGGACCCGTGAACTGATATTAAGTTGAACATCCCTCTGAGCCAATCAGGTGTTTCCTGTATTTTGATTTAACGGCTCATCAGCAAAGGCCTCTCATTGGTCCGGGACGGTTTTTTTTTTGTTTTTTTTTTTAATTATTCTTTTCAACCACAATTCAAAAGCAACGTCTTATTTCACCAAATTTTAATTTAGCAAACCTTTATTTATTATGACTTTCTTCAGTTTCTCCTTATTTGAGTGACTGCTGTGAGTTGTGCCTTCCTTTAGGACGGAGCGCCTGTCAGCCTGTACTCCGGGCACCACTGGCTCCCCGCCCGCCAGGCTTGTTGCTTCTTCCGCCTGTTGATAACTGCGGCGGAAAAGCGCAGCCGCGGAGCCCCGGGAGCTCACAGCCGCGTTTCAGAGCGCCGCCTTCATCCGCTCATCGCTGCGTGTTAATAAGTGAACGTTTGTGTGAAAACAGAAAACCGAAAGAAAAAAAAAAAAAGTGCTTCTCTTCAGACAGCTTTCCTTCACATGACTGCCGACGCATGCGCAGTGGGCCGGTTGTAACTCGGAAAGCTTCAGTAATCTGTGGAGCCGCTCGTGCCGCCGGACGGACCGACCCGTCGCCCACCGAGAAGAACCCGCAGCGAGCCGCGTCCCCCCGCTTCGCCCCGCTTCGTCCCGCCGAACGGCACCATGAGCTTCTTCGGGTTCGGCCAGAGCGCGGACATCGACATAGTTCTGAGCGACGCCGAGACGAGGAAGAAAGCCGAACACAAGAGCGAAGACGGCAGGAAGGACAAATATTTCCTCTTCTACGACGGAGAGACGGTGTCGGGAAAAGTCAACGTGACGCTCAAGTACCCGGGAAAGCGTCTGGAGCACAACGGCGTCAAGATCGAGTTCATCGGCCAGATAGGTGAGCGTCCGGAGGCCGGCCTGCGCTCCGACCCGGCCCGCCGGCACCAGTGGCCAAAGTGCGGCCGGAGGTGTCGGGGGCCGGCCGGTCTGCTGGTACTGAGGGTTCTGTGGTGGATCAGTGAGTAGAAAGTAACGCGGAGGCGGGTAACGCGTCCGGAGCGCGGTAACAAGTGTCACTTTGAAGCGGCGGGTCTCGTGACAGATGTGGATGTCAGCTGACGCGCAGCAGCCATTGGAGCAGCTCGCTGACCTCTGACCCGCCCAGAGACCTGCTGTCACATCTCAGCTGCGACCCGTTAGCCTGCGGTCCGGTCCGGTCCGGTCCAGGTCCGACAGCGTGTCAGGTGACTCGTCTCTGCGTTACTGGACCTGGTCCGTGCCCCGCGTTAGAACCGGATCACAGCCTTAAAGCAGCGGGTCTCAAACTGGGCTAATATCAGGAGGTCCCAGATCTCTGTTCAAAATATATAAAATAAAAATAAATCAAGCCTTCATCTATCAGATAAACGTGCACCAGGCCTGTCAGCATTACAGGTGCTTCCTGGACTTGTTGACATCATGATTTGATTCTATTATAATCATGTCCCTGAGGTTTACACTGAAGGGATCAATAAAGTTTTATTCTATTCTATTATTAATCTTTTTTGCTCTTTTTAAAATTATTTTCTTTTGATTTTATTTTTTTTCCTTTCATTTGTTTTAAATAAATTCATTCATTCAGAGAGATGAATGTGTGGCATTAACGCATTAATGAATAAAGTTATTGCCCACGCTGTACTAAGAATTCATGAACACGAGCTGATGTTATTTTGGGGTCGTAGCTCAAGAAGTTTGAGAAGCGCTGCTTTAAAGGACCGGTTCGACCCAGAGAGTGATTTCAGCCTCTACACTGTGACTGAAGTTGTGTTGTTGCCTCACATTTAGCAGATTATGTTCACGTGGGTTATATGTTAGAGCTCACAGCCCCGAGGACATCTGCATAAGAGACAGTTTCTTCATGTCCATGAACAAAGACACTGGACACACCAAACAGCTCAACATCAGAAATAATCCCTCAGCATGGCCTATGATCAACCTCAACAGAAAACATTGTTTTTCTCAAAACTATTTGGTTTCCAGAAACATGAGTTTTACAAAGACAAACGTTTGCTCTCACCACAGACGTAGAACCGTTTGATGCAGATAAGAGCAGCTGTAAACTCGTGTAGACTCGTAGAGCTTCAACAAAGCAGCTCACACTCAGCTATCAGTAGACTGGCACCGTTTGAGTTAGTATACGTTCAATAAACAGATGTAAGAGGAGAAATATTGCATTAATCAAAATGTTTTTAGCTCATTTCTTAGTTTACAACGAGTAAAACTCACAGTTTCATCTTAGAAACCTCGCTGCAGGTTTTTTATTGTTCATTTGGTCCAGATGGTTTGAAGGGTCTTGAGGTGTCTAGAAACCTCCTCAGACCAGTGGTTCCTAAACAGCCTGTTGAGGGTTTCATCCTGAGCAGGTTATTTATCTTTTAGAACATCCAGAGGTTGCTTTTGTGACTTGAATGTGAGCCGGTCGCTGAAGAACAGAACCTGCTGCTGATCCAGTGTTTTACTGATAAAAGTCCAGACGGGATCTTGCATAAGCTGAATGTTGGCGTTGTGATTTAACCGAGGCATTGTGAACACGTTGTGATGCTAGCAGAGGCAGAGCCGCTGAAGTCCAGCCTCCCTCTACAGCCTGCAGGAGGGCCGATGCTAACGGACAGTTAATTCACAGGTCGTTTAGAGTCGAGGCCTGAGGCTGTAGAAATGCAGTTAGCTGCAGGTTGCAAAGCAAATTTACCGCAAGTTACGATGTTAACCAACTTCAGTATTTCCTGATAGTTTTTGACAATAAACTGAAGACAGTGAGCAGTGATGTGAGTTAACTCAGTCCTCTGAGTGACCTGCTGAAGTGAGCAGGACTGTGTGATGGAGGGGTACTGCAGGATTGTCTCTGTTACATCTCAGAGGAAAATAAAGTATTTAGCTATACATTTTATCTGATAAGTATATTAACTAGTGGAAATGAGGTTTCCACAGCGTGCTATACACGTATGAACTACATCTGATCCGTGTTCTGATCTGTTAAGCGCTGGCCTGGCTAACACTGGAGTATCTGTACGTCGTCCTGTCACAGGTCTTGATGCTTCGTTCATCACAGGTTGTACCGTTTAATGATCTTCATTTAACCTGGAATACATGCAGTGATGCTCCCCAGGCTGTGTTACGGTGTCAGGGCCCAACAGTCACAGGCTGCCTCTAAACGTAGTCGGCCTGACTCTGGGAATCCTTCTACGTGCTGTTAAAAAGCATTTTGAATGTGCAGCAGATTGTTCAGAGGTTGAAGCCGGCCGAGGGACCAATAGATTAGGAACAGATGAAGTCTTATTCAGCTCGTTTGCATCGTGCCGTCCTGGGTTCAGTTCTTTTCTAATTTATGAAGAAGCCGTCTGCCTCGCTGAGCGTGTTTTTAAACTGGGCGTTCCACTTCCTTCTCCCTTTCTAGAAATGTTAAACATAAATGCATTTTGTCATTTTTGTCCACTGCTGCACCCTCCCTTTCCTCTTTTTTCATTCTAATAAGGGGAAGTGCTCTGGATCCATGTAGGAAGGCAAAATGGCAGCATTCAGGCTGAAGCAGTCACTACGGCGGCCTCACGTCAGGTTGTTCAGTGGGTCAGCTGTGACAGGGTTAGGGTCATGATGTCTGTATTGTGGCTGTGCTTCAGTAGAAGCCGTTGAAGGCTCTGACAGTGTGTGATGTGCTGATGTTCTCTTCCAGAGCTGTACTACGACCGGGGAAACCACCATGAGTTTGTGTCTCTGGTCAAAGACTTGGCCCGGCCAGGGGAGCTCACACAGTCGCAGACGTTCGACTTCGAGTTCACGCATGTGGAGAAACCCTACGAGTCCTACACCGGGCAGAACGTCAAGCTACGGTAGGCTGTGCTGGGTGCTCTGGGCTCAGCTGATGTCTTTATTGTTGATGCTGAAACATGAAGAAACAGCAGCAGATGTACAGCGTCCTCATGGACGGTTTCCACCTTTAAAGACTTGGTTTAATTCATGACTGCATTCATCAAGCAGTGCTAACTGAATAGCTGTCAGCATCAGAATCCAGTCAGGTTTATGGTCATGTAGCTGTACATACAGCAGTACAGGCAGGATGAGGGAGCGTTTCTTCAGGATCAGTCCTGCAGAATGAACATCTGGGATAGAACACACTAAACGTTCACTGTCGCTGCCTCCTGAAGGGGGCACTGCGTCCATGCACGCCTCCATCACATTGAACATGGAGAACCTCTTCAGGTCCTGGTAGGTCTTCAGGGACACAAAGACACACACGATGCTGCCCAGAGCTGTCTGTCTGTCTGTCTGTCTGTCTGCATCCCCTCCAGCTGTCTGTCTGTCTGGGATGCTGTCATGGAGCCATGTTTCTGTTAAAGCAGACACACAGCAGTCCCTCCACTCTCTGAGGGTTTCTCTCAGCAAACGTCCAGCTGGTTGTGGAGGGCCTGAGCTACACATTAGGACTGCTGTCTCCTAAGACTCTTCAGTTAGCGTGTCATCTATCGTCTCATCTAACTTTGCAAGAAGGAAGAAAAGCAGATTTCACAAACTGTGATCACACAGCTGACTGTTGGAAATGGTCGTGACGCTGATCACAGGCTGACCAGGTCCAGCTCAGTCTGGACTCAGAGCCAGTGTAATAGCCTGACAGGCTCAGGTTCCTACAGATTAATCCATACTGTGTGTTTTTAAAAGATCTGTTTCCAGTTTGGAGACAGTCAGCTGTGCTTTGGCTCTATTGCCAGATAACGTTGGTGCAGTTTAAAACCGTATCCTATATAAACTACCATAGAGTCTCTGATGAGTGGTCAGTACAGATGACTGGACTCAGCTGATGGGTGAGTGGATGTGTCCATACTTCAGGCATACTGTGTGTATATTGCAGGTTGACATCTGTTATTTTTTGGTCGGTGTGTGTAGTTGAATATAAGCTCATATGCAGCTGAGTATTATGACGGTTTACTAATAATAATAATACTTCACTGCTTAGCTTTAAAATGTGCATAAGCAGGCCTCTCTTAAAGGTACAAAACAAAGACAGTTCACAAATCTTACTTAAATGTTGAGAACATCGTCTCATCTTTAACTTGGAGATCCATTCATCTTCCATTCACGTGTCTACAGCGACATACGTTGTAATGAGGGGTGTCCATGCCACTGCTTTATAGGGAGGTAGAAGTACTGCTCTGTCTGCTGTATGTATGCTGGGCTAAGCATGATTTTAATATGATCAGTGATCGTGGAGCCTCGTTAACTTTCACATGATTCATTTAACAGTTATACACATCACAGTGTCTGATCCTAAAAAAAGCCTTTCCACCTCATTAACATCACACGGGGCTCACACTCGATCACAGGATGCTGTAATCTAATTGTTCTCTGAGCTGAATGGGAGGTTTTCTTCTTGGGATATTAAACTTTTCTCTGCATGACTTTTTTAACTCGTGCTGTTCGTTCCACATGTCCTGCCACCCGAACAGCTTCCTCCTGGTTCTCCCTGTTTCCTACCGTCTGCTCACTGATGGTCTGACTGTTGGTCTTACTCCTCTTTATGAGCTAACTTTTACTTTTGCTTCCAGCTACTTTCTGAGAGCGACAGTAAGCCGGAGAATGAACGACATCAGCAAAGAGCTGGACATCGTGGTCCACACCCTCAGCACCTACCCGGAGCTCAACTCCTCCATCAAGATGGAAGTGGGCATCGAGGACTGTCTGCACATAGAGTTTGAGTACAATAAGTCCAAGTATGGCTCTCTTGTTCCAGTACGCTGAAATACCTGCATGTTTTTCCTTTCAGGTCCAAACTGTGTGTGTTGTCAGAACGGGACCAGGAGATGTGACGGATCATGTCATGTGTTTGCAGGTATCATCTCAAAGACGTGATTGTGGGGAAAATCTACTTCCTGCTGGTGAGGATCAAGATCAAACACATGGAGATCGACATCATCAAGCGGGAGACGACCGGCACAGGACCCAACGTCTACCACGAGAACGACACCATAGCCAAGTATGAGATCATGGACGGCGCGCCGGTCAGAGGTGACTCCAAGGCTTTCTACAACACAGCTGCTTCTCGCTGAGCCAAGTTTATCTGTCGTCACTAAAATCGTGTTCTTGTGCTGCAGGAGAGTCCATCCCCATCAGGCTGTTTCTGGCGGGCTACGAGATGACGCCCACCATGAGGGACATCAACAAGAAGTTCTCGGTCCGCTACTACCTCAACCTGGTCCTCATCGATGAAGAGGAGAGACGGTATTTCAAGCAGCAGGTACACAGACTGTAGTTCATCCTCTTATGAATACAAACAGCTGTTCCAGGGGTGGTGCTGAGTCATGGTGACCATAAACGCTTCGTCACTGTGTTTTCATTGAGATCAGTTCTTTAGGGTTGGATAGAAACCTAAATGATGGTCCTGAGGTGAGCAGCAGGAGGAATTATCACTCCTGTAATGACTGAAAAAGCTTTTAAAATGTGAAAAACAACATGATCCAGGATTACAGGGCGACTAAAAGAGAGGCTACCTCACAACGTTGAGGTGTTTGTGGTAAACAAGTGGGTATTTTGGAGTTCTAGAGAAGTTCTAGTATGGAAAATGTGTTACTTAGTGTTTCTAGAGTTTAATCCTGAAGCTAGAATGGTGTGTCGTACCTACAGTGGAAGTAAACACAGCGGCTGCAGCGATGAGACAGCTGACTCCTTTAAGATGAAACTATATGTCAAAGCTACAAAACACCTCAATCATCCTGTTTAGCTCGTCAAGTTTGTCCTGCAGATAGTTCAGCTGAAGGCAACTCTGAGAGAGACTCGGTGATCTCCAGCGTTTTACCAGCGTTCATCTAACACCGTCTGCTCCACTGCAGACCTCCTGGGCTGCAGCTACACAGCAGGAGTCTCCCCTCTAGTAACAACACATAGCTAAATAAATACCGTTATCATTTACAAGGATGCAGCTTCAACACCATCTGAATTCAGTTAAAGCAGAATAAACGTCCAGCAGTGAAGCGGTGCCATCAGCAGGTGAAATGTGAGGCTCGGCTCCAGACGTGATGCAGCTGCATCGTGTTCATCCTCCATCACGGCTGTTGGTGATCCACCTCCTCTGTGCCGCTGGATCTTTTCCTTACATCAGTCTTGTTGCACACTGGGTCAGCGTCCGTCTCTGGAGCATGAAATCCAAATCACATGCAAATAAATCCCCTCCTTACTCTCACCATGAGCTCTACGTACATACTGTTATGGCTGCATGTTGCCCCGCTGTGCTCAGGGAACAGAAAACACACCTGGAGCAGATGATGGGTTTTGTTTGGCTCGCCAGCTGAGCTTTTATTTTGTTTGTAGGTGAAACGATGAGATACCAAATGTGTGTTAGAAGTCTTCTGTGTAGTTTGATGTAGCGACACCCACAGGTGGTGTTTCCTCAGTAGTTTGCCTCTTTTGTTGAGTTTTATGAATCTCAGTCTGCCCACAAAGCAACAAATAGCTTCACCAAACAAAGAAAACAAGAAACCCAATGCAGAGTTGCTATCTCACCTGCGTACCTATGAACAGAGGGGAAAAAATAAAACCTCAGCGAGCTGAACAGGTAAATCCACAGCATCTGCTCCTGATGGAGTGAACAGTGTTCCTGTAAGTCTGGACCCGGGGCCCAGGGCCAGCAGGGTCAGCGTACCCACAGTGTCTCTATCTGGCTTTACTAAACCTCACAGCCACAGTCAGCCTCAGTGACGACACATGGATGGTAGTTTAGCTTTAACGAGCAGCTGTCAGCTGGAAACCAGCGGCTGCATCACTAAATATTCTCTATGAACACGTTGAACACTTTCTACCAGCATTCCTGTCTCCACCGTTTACAGTAGCGGCATCATGGTGATGTTCCTCATTGTTCTCCATTAAAACAAGGAGCTGACTGAAGCAGCTGCTCGTGATTGATTCATTCAGGGCAGAAGAAGAGTCACATGACGCCTCCTTTAATGAGAACACACTCAGTCTGAAGCAGAGAGTTGATAAAGACGGTTGACAACCACCTTGGTGACACCAGTGATCTCTGACTGCAGCTTTAGTTTTTGTCCAGCCGGCTCACACAAACAGAGCCTGTCTGGGTCTGAGTTGCTTCACAGTGCAGCCCTCAGGTTTACTGCAGAAGGTCAACAGGTACAAGTGCTTCAAGCAGTTTCTGTTGTAGGATTATATTGCTATACGAAGGCCTGTAGAACAATAAGGTTTCTTGTGAATCACTTGTAGCTCTACAAGCTCTTCCTCTCCAGAGAGACTCTGTGCACACTGAGCTTCACCAGAGCTTCTCAGAACCGTGATGCCGTTTTCCAAGAGGATTAATTTGGACCTGTTCTTCTACACCGTGATCTGTTATATGAATGCTCTGGAGCAGGTCAGGTGTGCTGCGTACGTTGGCCTGCATCGCCGTGGTCGCCTGGTCAGAAGTGAACCGCTGCCAGAACGCTGAAAGTTTACCGTGATGGGACCTCGCTATCCCCGGGTTCTGCTCTGTAGTCCAGGCCTTTGTCCAGCCCTGTGACTTGTGTTACACTCTAGTGTCCTACCTGAAGCTCACTACATATCACAGACAGTTTGGTCTGTATGAAAGGTTAAAAGGAGTAAAGACAAATCAGTGAAAAGCACAGCCGCTTGTCTATATGCAGTATATACAGTGAGAGAGCAGCAAACCTGAGCGGTGTTGATTGTGGAGCTGGACCAGGTGCCTCTCCAGTCCTGATCCTCAGGGTTCAGCCAGAAAAGCAGATTGGGCAGCAGCCAATCACACGCTGGAGACGGCACAATCTGATCTGTAAACACAGAGCAGGTAACGGGAATGTGTTCATACCTGAGCGACAGGTGCGGGTGGATTTCTTGGACGTTAATTCTGCTGACGGTTTGAGGTTATTTAACTGTTGATGAAACATTCTGTGAGTCAGTCACAGATTGTTTGCAGGACAGGTGTGACACATCAGCACCTTCCCGCCTTAGACGTGTGTTGAACTGTTGCAGGAGATCACGCTGTGGAGGAAAGGCGACATCGTGAGGAAGAGCATGTCTCATCAAGCCGCCATTGCCTCCCAGCGCTTCGAAGGCTCCTCCAATCCCGAGAGGTCCAAGAGCCAGCACGCCGAAGACGAAGACACCAGCTAGAGGCCGGCTCACACTCCTCTGGCCTGTAGTGAGTGTCTGAGCAGAGACGAAGCTCTGAATGTGAATACCATCTGTTTGCATTGAGATAGGATGCACTGCAGTGTTTCTCAGATCGGGTGTGTGTTGTGTGTGTGAGAGGCTTGTGAGGACGGTGAGTGTGTGTGTGGTGAGGGAGCTAACAGTCAGACTGTAGCTCAACGTGATTCTCAGTGTGTTAGTTTGAACCACCTTGACGGTCCAGCCGGGTGGAGTTTACCACACTGGGAACCATCCAACGGTGTCGGCTAACTTCTCTGTCACAAAAACAAACTGCACAGAATTGACTTGTAAGTGCTTAACCTGACTTTTGTGGCATTTCTTCTACGACTCAGCGGGACGAACTCCAACCATTAGATCCACTTGAACATCGTTTGCATATACTGTTGGTGTGTGTATGAATGTAAAACGCGTGGCCCAGAGCCGCCGCGGGTGTGTTTCTAACATGACTTAAACGACTAACCTGGCAGATGGAGGGTGGCGCTGTACAGAAGCTGTGGTCATACGGTGGGTTTATAAAGAGTGGGTCAGTACGTCTGTGTGTCGTCACAGGATTCAGTCATCTGAGGATGTTTGCTGCCGTGCCCTCTGCTAAAAACTGCTTCTTATTTACATTTTGCCTCTTAAAGCCAGTATGACTCTTGGATAGCAAACAGCAGAACAAGATTTACGATTAAAAAAAATCTATAATTATGAGAAAAAAAAAGCGTATTTGTACAAGACGATGCTTAAAATATTTTCATACATTCCAAGGCTCTCATCAGAAACAAGGCATGACTATAGAGTATTTATTTTTTAAAACAGAAGTCCATTTTTAAACTAGCGTTTTACATGTTTGATGCGTCGGCTGTGGCTCGCTGTCAGGTGTCGCCACTGCTGCTAGAACAAACGTGGTACCTGTAAGACTTCTCTTCCATCGCCTGGTTGGCTGAAGCCCTGCTCTGCTATTTGCACTATGATCTCTTTCTGCTTTTTACCTGTTCAGCGCTGTTTTATGGGCTCGCTGGAGTCATGGCAGGATTCACGAGCAGAGTGTCGGTCAGACTCCATGGTCCCCGGGCATCACTTCAGATCAAGACAGTATTACATGGAGGCCAGGTAGATGCTTGTGAGTCCTGCCTGGTAGCGGTGTGCAGGCTGCTGGGCCCGGCTGCCCCCTTTGGTTAGTTAGCTTTGTGCCTATAAGGGTTTAGTGCCAAAATGTTTCAGTGCAATACTAGAGAGCAGTTGCCACAATGCCCCGCTGTCCCCTCTCTTCCCATCTACACTGTGCTCAGACCCATTCGTCTCTTCATGAAGAGGACAACTGGGTTTTAGGGTGAAGACAGTTTTAGATCATTTCTGATTATTGTGATTGTAGAAGAAAGATAACTGTTAAGTTGATCATATACAGTCCCAGATTTTATTCTAGAAAGCACTCAGATTTTTCTCCTTTAGTTTTCGGAGTAGACGTTGAGTTTCTTTGCCATCACTGCTGTTTGTTTGGTTCCCTTCTCCACACTTCCAGACCAGTGAGTGCGTAGCGTGAAGCCCTGAACCGACCCCCAGCGCTCAGCCTGCCTGCCCGGCTGGACGCTTTCTGCTTGCCGAGCTTATGCTGTGCAGCTTTTGCAGAACAAATGGCTGTGTGTGGTATTTTTGTTAACATGCTTGTGTTTTAAACTTTCCCTGGCGGTGAGCTCAGGGTTTTGGTGTGCTGTTGTTTCACTAAAGCAGCCCGACCGCTGTCACCACGGTAACTGCTGAAACAGGAGCAGTCTCCGGGCTGAGGGGCGTTGATTTGAGCCAACGGGACGCTTTGCTTAGATTTCTGTAGCTGGACTAATCAGGTGTGTGTTCCTTCTTCTTTCTCATGGTCGTCCATGGTTGTAGATGTTACTGCTTGGTGAGCCGCAGAAGTCTCCACTGAAGCTTCACATGAACGGACTGTGTGATGATGATGAGGAGGGGCGCTGACAGATGAAGGTGTGAAGGTGTGACGGTGTGACGGTACCCACTGGGCTGCTGATCTGGTCTTTACTGTGTGTTCAGACAGAAGATGGTGAGTCTGCTTACAGACTGAAGGCATGAGGAACACACAGCTGTCATGTGGCTCCTTCCTGAACACTGACAGTGTTTTAACTTGATGATCTTTATTAACAAGGACGAGAGACGGCAAGATGTGAATAACACAATGAAACGGGCTCATGCAGCTGTTAGGGGTTGAGCCTAAACATAAACACGTTGCTAGTTAGCCTCCAGCTATCCTACAGTCTGTACGTTGGCTGTTCCATCGTCTACACACCGCTTTATCCTCTGTAGGGTGGTGGGGGGCTGGAGTCCTTCCCAGCTGACTCAGGGTGAAGCCAGGGGGCAGACAGAACCAAGCCATTCACACCAGTGGCCAATTTAAAGTCACCAGTTAACCTAAACATGTCTTTGGTCTGGGGGAGGAAGCCTGAGAACCCGGTCAGAACCCACACAGGCAGAACACAGACGGACTCCAGCTGAAATCTGAACCCATCCAGCTGTGAGAAGACGGCGCTCTCCACCCTTTGCTTTCTGTCTGAACACACCTCGACTAGTAATAAGGTTCAGCCCCTACTGACTCCAAAAGTCCACATCCACACGAAACGCTGTGCTCCTATTGGCTGCTGGAATACACGATCTTCTGCACATGATGGTGCACACAGTTTTTAACAGTAGTGTTTGCAAGAAAAGGGTTGAATAAAATAGAGATGTGGGTGATGAATTAAATGCTCGTTGTGTCTCCTCTTCTCTGGCCTCACTTCCCACCTTCATCATTCTCACACAGTCCCTGAAGCGTTCTGATTCTTTCTCTACATCATTCGGTTCAGTTTGGGAATCCCACAGCAGCTTTGCAGTATCCATGTTTTCCAGTTTTGTCTTTGTGATTCAACCTTTTGCCGGGGCTGGTACAGACGATAACTAAACTAACCCAGTTTGTAATAAAGAGTAAACTGAGATTAAAATAAGAGAGTTATGAAATGTACAGTATAAATGCACAATGTAAATGCAAACCCTCTTCCTTTTTGTTCATGTCATATTTCCTTTCTGTCTATAAATCTTGATTTGATCCTTTTATATTCCTGTTTTTCTTTGAATTAAAAGGGAGTAACTGAAGGCGTGTCTCCTGTGTTAATGGCACACATGACGCTGTGGCTGACTGAGACGTAGTTTAGCATCAGCTGATCTCAAGTCTTCTCCCTAAAATCTCTGATTAATCATTTTCACTTCTTATTCATACAGAGCTGTTTGATCGCTGCATGTTGTCCTTAACGTACAGGGAGTCTGTCAGGATGAGCAACGCCTCAAATCCAGTTTATTCTGTGTGAAGCAGCAGTTTCAGCTGATGGAGTTTAAATGCTGCCTTCAGTGAATTCCTACTGTGTAGAAGCAGAGCGGCCACTAGAGGGCAGCCTTACATAAAGTTTCTTTGTCTGAAAAGTTTTAAAAGCAGCAAATTTAAAAACAAAACTAAAGGGAATTCTGGGAATATCTACACAATGAAAATGAGCTTTAGATGCTTCTCTGGGTTTAGATCATGTCAGTGGATCGATTATGTTACAGGTGGAGTCTACAAACAGGTGAGCTTCAGATGGGAATAAACACATCTGTGGCTGCTGAATTAACCTACTAAAGTTTTATTCTTTGACCAACATGACCATCATAAAGTATTTGTGGTATTAAAATGTCTTCTTGTGGAACCAGATCTTCTGGACAGAGAGTGAAGTGATTTCTCTAAAGATCACTGTTCAGACGTTTACCATGTGAGAGAGAGATGTAAAGACTCGAGTGCATTTAAAAAACGTATTTTCCCTTAAAACCAGAGCAGAAAGTCGCCTCTTGAAGCCTTTGTGCGGCGTGCCGACAGCTGAAGCCATTTCCTGTGACCCATTCATCATGTTAAACACATCAGCTGAATATCTGCCACAGTAATGACACGCTGGTGGCTTCCCTGATATCCAGGAGGAGGACCTGCCATGTTCAAGAAAACCTTGCTGTTAAAGAAAATGATGTCTGAATGATTGCAGAGTGATGGCTCCATTTTCTGGTGGCACATCCTTCACAGCGAGCTCCACCTGAGATTGCTTGTGCTGGACAGGCAGGACGATTAGTGACTGCAGAGTGGAACAATAAGAGACGAGCATTAGAAGATCCTCAGCCATGTTCATGAGACAGCCAGCCGCCTGCCAGAGCAGGTAGGAACAGATTCAGTTTACCTGGATGGAAGGCAGCTGAAAGCCTCTTCCCGGCTCCACACTGCTCTTGGCTGCATGAACTGGAGGACACATGAGCTATGAGTGTCCAGATAAGTTCCCACTGTGTGAAATCTTTGTCTGTTTCTGTGATCCGTGGTGCTAAAATGAACACATGTAGTGACAACATGTCTTTGTATGACCAAGGGAGCGACTGACAGTAAAGGACGGGTCCACAGTTTCAGTCAGGAAGCTCCTGTTCATCAACCTGCCCTCTCTGATGGGCTGTCAGTGAAGGCGACAAAGTCCTCAGTGCTCACCTGGCTCAGAAACGTATTCCTAGTTGTATCTGAAGCTTCAGCAGCTAGAGTGGGTCCAGCTGGGTCGAGGTCTTCCAGAATTCTGTGGAAACTCAATGAGAATTTGTAAAGATGGTCAAACTCTGGAAGACATCCACTCGAGTTGTAATACTGCTGAAGTGCAGTGTTATGGTCAGATAAATATTTCAGTACATTTTTATACCAAACAAAGACTGTGGCACTGATTCAGAGGGAATAGTTTAATGACCAGCGTAAGCAGAAAGAAAAGCCTGTCTCACTACTCATATGGTGCTTTAAGGTGGACTTGAAAAACTGTCAACTCCTTGTTCGAGGTTAGAGAATAATATTAATAGTCATACAGCTACATGTACTCTATCTATCTATCTATCTATCCATCTATCCATCTATCTATCTGAGCGTACTTTATTTGCAGGTGTTGACACACAGATGCAGGAATCCTTTGCTGGACGGTGTTTGACTGGTGGCTTCAGGTCATTTCCTTCACCGGTGGATGTTTCCTCCAGCTGACAGAACTGACAGGAAGGTGTTTCACTTTTATCCTCACATCGAGACAGTCTGTCATCGAAGCCTGCGAGGTGGAAAGTGAACTGAAGCAGGCCTGGGATCATCTGTCTGAGAGAAGGATCAGCAGGAGCCCAGGGATGAGATCGGGGTGACCAGGTTTAAACTTCCTCCTCCCGTCCTTTGGCTCTCCTTCAGCAGCTCCCTGGAACTATGAGGGCTTTTGTAATGATCCACATGAACGTCCTCATCGAGCAGCCTACGTGCTCACAGGTACAGGATGAGCTTCTCATCTCCAAGCTTCATATGTAGTGCACAAACTATTTCCTCACTAATGTGTTTTGGTCCGTTCCTATGCACTGGGCTGTTTCAGATCACTGGTAACTGGGAATATCTTGCATGAATGGTTTGCTTCTGGTCACTGGACATACTGACGTGAGAGTGACTCTGTGATGAGGTGATGCTGAGGCCAAAAGCTCCTGAGAACCTGCTCTGCTGCGTTCTCTGTCCTCTGAGGGGAAGCTCTCAGAGGA